ACTATTCCATTTTGTTAGTGTTGGAGGCCTGAACTGTATATTTATGTAAGACCATTAAATCAGTTGTTTCCATATGATTTTTAGTGTTGTCACTGAAATTCATGCATGCATACAGGTGAAAACAGGTGAGCTTTAAGATTGTGTTACAAGGCATGATACACTACATACTAGCTTAATAGATGATGATGCACATTAAAACTGTGGCAGACTGTTGATTGTTCAGCTGTGTTCACCTGTGCTGTACTGTGTTCATTGGGGATTTGGGTCACTTGGTTTTCTTGTTATTGTTGTCTGGATTCTGTTCTGTTATTTCAGAATAAAAGTTCATGTTAATCTACATCTGAGCAAATGCTGTGCTTTTGGTTGAGGTACATGTAGTTCTAGAGATTCAGATTTATGCAGAAACCATATAGAAGTAAATTGAGTATATTTAGCCAGCTGGGAGTGTTAATAGCACAACGTATCCGGTGTGAAATGCCAGCTGGGACTTTATCCAGACTGAAGCACATTAATCTGGAGGAGGTGATTCAACTGCATCAGTATTATATCATATATGATCGATTAGAACAATTTTCGAGAAAATTCAGTGAAATTATTCGGCTATTTTTATGTAAGTACACTTTTAAAAAGGATGGTTCTTTAAGGATTCTTTAACAAAGGGAATGGTTCTGTTTAGAACCAGGAGTTATATAGAGAACCATTTCAATGCTTTTATGTTTCTTTACATGGAGAAATGGTTCTGTCTGTTTCCTATTTCAGCCGTTATTATTTATTATTACATTAATATTTATGTATTTATTGTTTTATACGTCTTTTTGTTTTGCTGATTTTCACTCGTTCTAGTTGATCAATTTCACTTCAACTTTTTCAGTCTCTGTTTAATTTGCTCGGCTACACTGTAAATGAAGGTCACCCTCAATGCACTTCTGAGCCAAAATAAAGGTTTATTGATTGATTGGTTGATTGATTGATTGATTTAAAAAGTCACAAAAGCACTTTTAACTGATCTGCAAAGTCAAAGCTTAACGAGGCTTCAGGTTCAGGTTTCTTTACAGTGGTGGTGATAGGAACCAGGTGTTGCCATGACTACAACACAAATATAGACATTTTAATTTCTATTCAAAACCACCAGTGAACCTACACGAGTCTTCTGAGTTCATATGGAATGTTAATTTTGGGAAAATAGTCATAAATCTGAAAATGATAAGTTTTGGGTGGACTGTTTTGCCTCACGACGTCCTGCATGTATCCCTCCACCACGAATGGATTAACAAGACATTTTAGGCCAAAACTTTCTCAAAACTAAGGTAAAATAATGTGTCGGTCATCAGGCAGTGAATTCATAACCATTTCATGTAGTAACTTTCTGCGAGGGAGCTTTTAGAGGTGGACGTCTGGTTCCTATCACCACCACTGTGAACAGCTCTGACTCCAAGTTTCTCTAGAACAGAGCGTTTCACACCAAACCACTCTGAATGACTCTGTTTACATCTTAACCACTTAATTATGCAGAACTTTTGAAAAGTCAGTGGAGCTCTCCTTCAAATATCAGCAGGCACTCTGGTGTAGCTCCTCCTGAGGGACAGTAAAGTGTTTGAATGAGTATTAAAGCCTAATTTTACAGGCTTCGATTTTTGTAAGATTTTTTTGTAAGTGTGGCTTTTATAAGCGAGTCAAATGAAATAAAAAAGAAAAAATGAGGAAGAGTTCACGTCCACACCCTGCTCCCTACTTACTGCATCATACAGCCTGTGCCCTACACCCTGCTCCCTACTTACTGCATCATACAGCCTGTGCCCTACACCCTGCTCCCTACTTACTGCATCATACAGCCTGTGCCCTACACCCTGCTCCCTACACCATGAACACCTTCACCCAGAATCATCTCTTAATTGGAAACTAAAAGACATGTTAACAGATAGATAGATAGATAGACCCACATCACCTATTACTGTTTTATTTAACAAACATTTGTAATGTAAACAAAGAGTAAAAGCCTTTATTCTACATGTAAATCATGTATTTGAAGATTTAGTTAAGATTTCAGGAGGCAAATTTATTCATTACATGTTTATTTGTAAAAGGGCAGTTCAAACTTTCCAAAGTGCTAAAAAAGGAGGGGAAATAAAAAACCCAAAACAAATGAACAAAAAAACTGCAACTTTAAGTTAAATTTAAACTTAATTTTGGACGGCTGATGTTTTTAAGAGATCATTTCATATATTTATTATAGGCGGCTTTGGGTGAGTTTTTGGCAGAATTTTGTTGAATTCAAGATCTGTTTCTACAGCACTTTTTACAACAAGCGTCACAAAGCAGGTTCAGAGAAAATCCAGGTCCGAGCCCCTGATGAGCAAGCCGAGGGCGACGGTGGCAAGGAAAAACTCCCTAAGAGCAAGAGGGAGAAACCTTGAGAGGAACCAAGACTCAAAAGGGGAACCCATCCTCCTCTGGTCGACTGGATTTGCTCTGAGCACCGACACAAAGTATCTATGGGACCACAGTCTTTTGAGAGAGAGTGAAGTAAACCTGGGTGTCGTCAGGAGAACCGTGATAGGTGATTTTGTGTTCTGGCAGGATTCAGCCTGACGGGAGCACGAAGAGAGATTATGAAGAGGTTAATGGAAATGAATGAGCTTAAAGGGACCCAAGGCAGCTGATTTTCCTAAACCAGCAGAACATCCTGGAACAAATGGACGCTCTCCTAGGCTTCTCCTTTTTTGAAGGCACACTGTTGGATCCACCTGCAGAAAGATTTCACATTCAGTGTTTGCATATCAAATAATGGAAATGGCTATTTTACTAAATATGTAGTGCCTGTTTTAAAGTTATATTGCCATTTATCTCAAACTTCACTAAATCTAAACTACACATGAATTTAATTAACCATGTAAACTTACTCATATCAGCAGTGCAGCGACTCTGCAAATGGTCCTGATCTGAAGATTGACCAGCGTTATCGTCCTTTCTGGATTTCTGTGATGTGAGAAATTGATCATATCATCAAACTTGTAATCATTTAAGTCTCACCACGATTCAAAGTGTTAATATTAATAATGCATATAACAGCATGTTAATAATATGATGTACATAATGTTACTGGGACAAAATAGCACAACATTAAAACTACTTGAAAATAATTCTTACCTATTTGAAGATGCTGAGCTTTGGCATCTTGAGATTGAAGATGTTCTTGAGCTTCAAATTTATGTTCTCCTCTGCTTGAGACATGGCCTGATAACAAAACATTGTCAATGGTCTGGCTGGAGACCAAAGGTTCCTCTTTGATAGTGGGAGAGGAACCAGACTCAACCGATGCAGGACGGTACAAGTCTTTAGGGTCTGCACTCTTAATTGCCCTGACGATAGAAACAGCCAGAGATCCTGCCAACAGCTCACTCTGGGCTTTTACTCTTCAATGAGCTGATTTTCAGATCTCATTTTCTGAAGAAGCTCTGCATACACAGCTTCAATGATGGAGCGGTGAAGTTTTTGGAGAGCATGCTCTCCATCTTCCACTGTGACAGCAGTGAAAAGGGCTACAATTCCTTTGACCATGCCCATAACATTCTGGACCTGGTCCTCATCAATTAAGAGAGGAGATCCATGGACCCCAGTGGATGAAATCTCCTGTACACTGTGTAATATTGCATGTACGCAACAATGGAGAGCATCCATGGAAATGATTGGAGATATATTGAGTTCTTCAGAGCTGTGTGAGTCACTTTCTGGTGTCTCTTCAGCATTACTTTGGAGAACAGATCCATTTTGTCAGCAAACACCTCAGATGGGGGTCTTGAGATCTCAAAACTCTCAGGAGTGACTCTGAAGGGCATCACCAGACTTGGAATGCCGTTAGCGTTGGTTGAAGCTGGTTGAGGAGCTGCGAAGGAAAGAAGGTACAGATAGTTAGTTCAGTACCAACATTCCCAGATTACCGCAGGACAGATCTGCGCCTTATTCTAACAGGAAAACAAATTAACCAAAGGCTCGACTAAACAGGTACGTTTTTAGCCTAGACTTAAAGATGGAGGCTGTGTCTGAGTCCCGAACACAGACTGGTAGGTTATTCCAAAGCTGGGGGGCTTTGTATGAAAAGGCTCCTCCCCCTGACGTAACTTTATTTATTCTGGGTACTAATAATGAGCAGCACCTTGTGATCTAAGTGGGCGTGTCGGTTGATAATAGGAAATAAGGTCACTGAGGTACTGAGGAGCAAGGCCATTCAAAGCTTTATATGTCAGTAGAAGAATTTTGTACTCAATGTGGAATTTAACTGGCAACCAATGTAAGGTACACAAAATTGGGCTAATGTGGTCAAATTTCCTGGTTTTGGTGAGAAAGCAGAGCGTTACAGTAATCTAACCTGGATGTGATAAAGGCGTGAACGAACGTTTCTGCATCCTGTAGCGACAGTGCATTTCTTAATTTAGCGATGTTACGCAGGTGGAGGAAAGCTATTCTGGTAATAATGGTAATATGCTCATCGAAGGCCAGATCGGGATCGATCGTGACACCAAGGCTTTTTACAGATGTGCCTGGTGCAACTGAGAAACTATCGAGATTAAGAGTAAACGTAGGCAGATTATTCCTGGCAGCTTTTGGACCAAGAAGAAGAACTTCTGTTTTGTCCGAATTTAGTAAGAGGAAGTTCACCATTGGTTCACCATTTACATTAACAAACTCAAAGCATCACTAAGGTAAGATCTGAACCACGAAAGCTTTACCTGTCACTCCTACTAGTTTCTCAAGCCTGTCTAATAGAATGGAATGGTCTATTGTGTCAAAAGCTGCACTAAGATCGAGTAAAACCAGTAAGGATATGTTTCCTTTGTCAGCGGATAATAAAAGATCATTTACAATTTTCACTAACGCTGTTTCAGTACTATGGTGAGGCCTGAAGCCAGACTGAAATTTTTCATGTATATTACTTCTATGCAGATGGGAACATCATTGTTTTGCCACGGCTTTCTCTAAAATTTTTGATAAAAAGGGAAGATTTGAAATAAGTCTATAGTTTGATAACTCAGAGGGGTCAAGACTAGGTTTCTTTATTAGGGGTTTAATTACACCTAATTTTGAGATTTTGGAACACAGCCGAGGCTGAAATAATTTGGACAAGCTCTGTTCGTTGGAGTAAAGTAAAAGACTCCAGCGTCTCTGTAGTGGTTATACTGCACTCTAGATCTAGATTAGGTTTATAGGACACTGCACTTGTTAGCTGCGCATTTTGAATTTGGTGCCTAATCGATTGAATTTTATTACTGAAGAAGTTCATGAAGTTAATGCTGCTGTAGGCTGACGGTATCTGGGCTTCAGTAGTTGCTTGATTATTAGTCAATTTAGAGATAGTACTGAATAGTAGCCTAGGATTATTCTTGTTATTTTCAATCATTGACGAGAGATAGGCTGAACGTGCTGACTTTAGTGCTTTTCTATAGTCTATAAGACTCTCCTTCCAGGCAGACTGGAAAACCTCAAGTTTAGTCTGATGCCATTTACACTCTAATCGCCTGATAGTCTGTTTCATAGCTCGAGTATGGTCATTGTACCATGGAGCGAGCCTTTTCTGCCTTATTCTTTTACTTTTTATTGGAGCCACATTATCTAAAGTAGAGCGAAAAGTGTCTTCCAAACATTTAGTCAGCATATCTAATTCATTAGGTTCAGACAGACAACTAATTAAGGACAATAGATCTGGAAGGTTTTCAATAAAGCTATTAGGTGTAAACGATGTTATAGTACGTTTAACACTATAGCGTGTGGATGAATATATATTACGACTAAAACTGATTTCATATGAGATTAAGTAGTGATCTGACACTGCTGTGGTCTGGAGAAGGATGGCCAAATGCTTCATGTCTATACCTAAGGTCAATATTAAGTCTAGAGTGTGGTTACAGTAGTGAGTAGGCCCCATAATATTTTGAGTGAAGCCAAAACAGTCTAAAATAGATACAAATGCCTTACTTAGCGGATCCTGTGGTTTGTCTATGTGGATATTAAAATCTCCAACAATTATTACTTTAATCGAGATTGTTATTGTTATGCTAAACTAGATAACAGGTCAGTAAATTCCTGTAAAAACTCAGAGTAAGGCCCCGGTGGCCTGTAGATTATGATGAGCGAAAATGAGCTCTCATTTGTTCCTCAATTGCTAACATTAAGAAACTGAATTTCAAAGGAAGAGAAACTACGGTCTGCTTTCTGGTTTATTCTTAAAGTATTGGTGTAAATGGTTGCTATGCCTCCACCTATGCTATGGATTCATTTAAAGCTAAGTACTCTTCAGGTCTAATCCACGTCTCTGTTAGACACAGAGCATCAAAGTGGTGATCAGTAATAATTTCATTAACAATGACGGCTTTAGGTGTGAGAGATCTTATATTAAGCAGACCTAGTTTTAGACCAAAGGTGCGGTCATTGCAGAGTGGTACAACTGGTCTGATATTAAAGTTACTAGAGCAAACATTTCGAGGCTTTTTGATGCTTTGTTTTATTCGGGGAACAGACACCGTCTCAATTGGGAGAAACCTATGAGCATTTGTAATTATAGAATAAGTATTTTTATCAGCACTTGCCTTATTTACAGTATAAGTGCTAGTAATCGTCTTATTTTCAGTACTAACACTAGCATTATAAGCTGTAGCGTTTCTATTTTTGGTGCAACTTACGTGGCCTTCGCTGTGTAGTCAGTGGATGGCCCTCTCGATGTTCCGAGGCCCAGTCGTCCAAGTAGCCCAAGCCGTTGAAGGCGCACCAACAGCGGAGCCAGGACTGCAGCGCGAAGAGCCTGCTGAAGCGCTCGGATCCCCTCCTGTACGTGGGAAGCGGTCCGGAAATGACGATCCTAGTGCTCCTTCAGGACCTCACTACGTCGGTCGAGGATGTCGTTGGTCCCGACATGGATAACCACGGCCCCGAAGGCGTTGCGTCTGCTGAGAGCCGAGGGGAGACGCTTGGCTATGTCTACAACACGTGCACCTGGAAGACAAGAGACAGTGGCATGGGTATTTTTAACCTTTACTTTTATGTGGCGGACAACAGAACTACCGATAACGTAAAGAGTCCTGTGTTGAGGGACGAGGCGCTGGGGCAGGCGGCCAGGAGGCCCGAGACGTAGGTGAGGGTGTAGGCGGTGAACTGAGGGCGGCGAAACGGTTGCAGGAGGTGAAGATCAGCTGGTCTGCAAGGCCCTCTGTGGCGCTGGCGTTCCCAGGGTCCATGTGGGGCTGGCGTGAGAATGGCGTCTCCCGGCATGCGGAAAGACGAGGCTGGAACAATCACAGAGGGGGAAACTTCCCGGGCGGCTTCAAGCATCGAATTCCGCTGAAGGAGCTCATCCTGTTTATTTAGGAGGGCAGTGATCTGCCGGTCCAGCTGGGCCCACTCTGAGCTCAGGGTCTGGAGGGCTCGTTCTTGGACGCCATGGTGGATGGGCTGAGGAAGTATCTGTGAGAGAGACAGAGAAAGAGAGGGAGAAGACAAAAATAAGAGGGAGAGGCGTGAGGGGGTTAAGGGCCTGCTCACTGCAGAATTCGCAAGTAATTTTCAAGTAAAGTTTGAACGCTGACCGATCTGAAGTTCGAAGGTACGCTGCTCTCTGTCGCTCGCAGTCTCTGTCGCTAGGATGAACTCTGAGAGGACGTTGTCGTGTCACCCAGCTCTGATAATAAACATTCAGCAAAATCTCTGACGCACATCTTTGGAGGGCAAGACAAATCTGACGCACTCTTGAGTTCTTTGGCTTCACAAGTTGTTGGAATGATGACCTTCTGTGATACTGTGGTCACGATCTTCTCAATGGCCATGTTCATTATGGTGATTTCATCCCTTGTAAACTACAAGTAAAAGAACATATTGACAGGATTAGTCATCACTAGCATTGTCTTACAGGGTTCATCTGCTGGGATTTCACAATATTGATATTAAAATAAAAATATAAATTAATTGTATTTGAATTATAAAAGCTCACCATTTGATGCATCCCACCAAGTATGACTTGTAGTTGCCTGAAAGATAAAAGATAATGCAGAACAGCCATTTAGTGCTGATGTAACAGAGACAGCGACTTTTGCACTAAAATGATCATAAATGTCAACAGATTCATCATTATTGAGTCTTGTCTATTTAACCACCCTAGAGGGAAATGTCATGTCGGTTAGCTTGTTTCATCACATTTTATTGGCTACCAGCTGCTAAAGAATCAGGATTAACCAATCAGGATTCAGATCTGTTACCATAACATTAATAATTTGAAAGCTAACCTGCTAGCAACACAGCTGTAATGGAAGATAAGCCATAATAAATGCCATATATGTGTTTTATTCCTTATGCGTAGTAATGTCATTCACATGTATATTTCATATCTGTGTACCTGTATATACATTTGTACATTGTGCTGGATATTTGTATGTTTGTATTTGACAGTGTACATTTGAGTAATTCCTGGCTGCACCACTCAGTGCTGAGTACATACCGATCAGTCAGGCTCTGTAGGAAATGGGCCAAAGCAGAGTCATCAGGTTCTGGGAGAGAACCTGCTGCTGCGTTACGGAGCGCTTCCTCTGCCATGGTGGACTGTCCTGAGATTTAAAAACACACAAAAAACACAAGAAATCAGGGAACTGAACTGCAGCTAAACCTACCAGATTAAACCGTCACACCAACTTCGGCCCACAGCAGCCTTTTGTTTTGATAAGACACAAACAGACTCCAGCCTTTCAGCGGGACGAACGAGCGCATTCTCTTTTTAGTTCCGTCTCAAATCGCTCCCTACACCCTATCTAGTGCACTACGTAGCTCACATAATAATGGCTTCTACATCCAAACAGGGCGCTGTATGTAAAACAGAGAGCCATTTGGGATTCAGCCACAGGCTGCACGACTTCTTATTGGGCATATAATTCACTATTTCGGTGTAGATTCCATCGTCTGACATGCACTACAGAGGGAGCATGAAGCAATTTGAGACACAGCCTGCATTTCTACAGTGTATATCGTGTTAGGCGGCTGTGTCAGACAGCAGAGCTCACTACTCGCATAATGGCGCTACATGTATTTATACTGTTAAACGCTGCTCTCACTGTGAGATGCTTTTATTTTCTAACACTGCAGATACGATCTCCACCGCCCCCTTACATATTTACTACTTCTCGTTCCACCTTAAATGGTGCAGCAGTTACACTCTGGTGCGTGAGGCCAGTTTAAGTGGGCAGAATGGAACTGCTGCACTATTTAAGGTGGAACGGGAAAATTCGAGTCACCTTAGCTAGGAAGGTGGTTTCAGCCTTGTTTACTCAGTTTAGTCAGTTAGGAGAGCTAACGTTAGCTTAGCTAGTTAGCCAGGCATAGTTACATATTGACCCAAATAGCAAAAATCAGTCGGGCCACTTCTGGCCCAAATGCCGCATGCCATGCCTGAATCTCATCGGCCCAGACTCGGTTTAAATCTAGGCCCAATTCTCAAGGCTCACATTCGGGCCGAGTACCGTCAGCTGGTATTCATTTCATGGGCCCACGTCCGGGCTCAGCATTAAGCTGTGGATAGTGTGGGGCTCGCATTAGTGGATGGGTGTGGGGCTCAGCTTAAGCTGTGGATAGGTGTGGGGCTCTGGATTAAGCTGTAGATAGGTGTGGGGCTCTGCATTAAGCTGTGGATAGGTGTGGGGCTCTGCACTAAGCTGTGGATAGGTGTGGGGCTCAGCACTAAGCTGTGGATGGGTGTGGGGCTCTGCACTAAGCTGTGGATAGGTGTGGGGCTCTGCATTAAGCTGTGGATAGGTGTGGGGTTCTGCACTAAGCTGTGGATAGGTGTGGGGTTCTGCTCTAAGCTGTGGATAGGTGTGGGGCTCTGCACTAAGCTGTGGATAGGTGTGGGGTTCTGCTCTAAGCTGTGGATAGGTGTGGGGCTCTGCACTAAGCTGTGGATAGGTGTGGGGCTCTGCTCTAAGCTGTGGATAGGTGTGGGGTTCTGCTCTAAGCTGTGGATAGGTGTGGGGCTCTGCACTAACCTGTGAGCAGGCATGGGGCTCTGACAACAGTTCCAAGTTGAAGTGCTAGTTGAAGCATTATTAAACAGTTTAAATGCATAAAATTATAGTAATTTTCATTCTGACTCCAAAGTTGCACAATTATATGAAACATAACTAAACACCTCTAGAAATACATCATAATTTAAATAAAGCTACTCATAAAACATCTGAATCTTGGTGTAAATGTAACGTCAATACTAGTGTACCATACGACAAACTAATCTGGCTTAACTGAATCTGAATTTTTATTTTGAGCCCAGCATTGCATATATGCATGGGAAACTGCAAACACACAAATAAATTGCCATTTTACATACAACATTTTCATTATAGTTTTGCTACTGATACGCTTCTATATCAATATGGGAGCTGATAAAATGGACAATGAGTGTAGATTCAAGTACGTGTACTTAATGAAGTATACACACACAATTTCAATAACTGTTTTAGAAAAATGTTGTTTGTTTCCTCCGCTCTCCTGCGCTAATCAGCAGACATGTTCAGTTTGAACAGCAGCTGATAAGTGAAAAACATGGTCTGCAGCTGCTTAGACCTGTATCTTTAGCTGACATGCTGTTAATATTAAATGATTTATTTAAAATCTTTTAAAAAATCAAATATTAAATAATATTGTAGACTTGGGTGATATCTAAAAATCTTCACATTATCTGCTTTAACCTACTTTCTACTCTAGTTTGTGTTTATTTACTTTATTAAACATTAACTGTTTTAACGAAAATCGTTAAGTCCCGCCTTTATTACCGCAAACACGCGTGTTGGTTACAGCCTGCTGGGGTTCGTGGCTGTTTCTTGTGGGTTAACAGCGTCCCCTGCTGGAGAAGCTTTACAATCGCTTTCCCACCATCACAGTTGGAGCATCCTCTTCATTTTATATATAAATATATATAAATAAATATAACATATAAAAAGCCTCACCTTACCCCACTCTGCGTTTTCCAGCCTGTAAAAAAACAAGAACAAAATCATCATCCGTGAACACAGAAAGCATTCAAATGTCTAGCAGTTCTTTTTCGACACTCACAAACCAACAAATTAAGCAGGTTTTTTATTTATGGCACAAGATAATTCGGGGGACCTGCCCTGTGATGCTAAGCTAGCTAGGAACAGCTAAGCTAGCTAGCTAGTTATAACAGATAAAAGTTGTCCTACATGAATTAATCTTTCAGTGCGGAAATATAAACGAACATTAATAAATGTGTAATAACTAGATGGAAGGCTGAAGGAGCTAATGATGCTGTGCACTGTAAGTTAGTTCACTTCAAGCTGATTTTAGCTTAGCTACCTAGCTAACATTAGCTTCACTGTAAAACGCCCGGGAACACAAAATTGATGCGTTTTCGCGCCATTATGGCAACGTTAGCTAGCGAAATTCGGTGTGATGGTCCTTATAAATAAAGTAGAAACCGTTTAAAGCAAGTATTTACAGAAATCGCGCTGCAGTGTGTGGATAACGCCAACCAGCTAACGAACAGCTATACACTATTCAAAGGGCTTAAGTTAGCTAGCTCCCTTTCAATACAAAGCTTTTTATTCATCTGTGTTAATATTAGATCGCTACTGGAAACTGTTTAGGCTACTCTAAAGTCATTTTAACTCAGGTTCTGCCAAACACATAATTAAACTCACTGGAAGCGAAGCAGCCTCTGCTGAAGTCCAGCTGGAAAGGGAGAAGTCCAGGGAAGGTGGGCTCTTATATAACTCACATCTACGTTTTCGCGCCAATTGACACGTCATCAGTGATATTTTAGTGTAAGCAGTGAATAAATGAAGCTTTTCCAAATAGAAATCCTTAATTTACCACATTTAATTACAATAAAATACAACATTGCAGTGTTTGTTTCTTAATAAATAAACACTGTAAATAGTGGACTTACTGCGATATTGCCGAGACAGGCTGAGTCTCAAATGGGATCTTACTCCCTATATAGTTAGTGCACTACGTCATTTAAGAAACTCTGACTTCTTCATCTAAATAGCTGTCCAGGGAATTCACACCGGACTGAATCCATGCGCTCTTTGTTAGACATATTATGCCCTGTTTGGTTTCAGGAGCCGTTATTTCAAGACCTACATAGTGCACTACGCAGGGAGCAGGAAGCCATTTGAGATGTATCCATAATCAGCAGCCTGCATGCATGGGCCCGAGCACATATGGGAGCTGGTCCGAGCTCCTTTTGCCGACTCTCCAGATGCCAAATGTAACGTACACTCGGCCCAGACCTGTAAATACTCACTGGGGCCGCATCAGCACACATGATGACACATTAACATTACTTTGGTTCTTAATATTTTGGTTCTATTATTGTTCTCATAGATTGATTAGCTGTGGTTTTGAACCATGTAGCTACTTGTTAATCCATTCAAACCCAAATTTTGTATGAAAAGGAATTTAGTTTCTTAAATTCCACACTGTAATAATAATAAAGCCACAGAACCTTTTCTGACTGTTTGTGTAGTTTGTATAACTGCCTTGAATGAATATCTGTTTAAATATCATTTTCACTTTTATTCACAATATTTTAGATGTTGCTTTGTTAAAAATCGATACTCACGTTTGACCAAATGACCAGATTTATATGATCAATTAAGTGATAAAACGTATTTATCTGTATGGTTTGATCGGTTTGATACATTTTTTCACGTTTGTGCTCAAACTGAAATTTAAAAATGATTAAATTCATTTTCACACTTAAAAGATGGTTCTTCAAGGGTTTTTAAATAAAAAGGTTCTTCATAGAACCATAAACAAAGAACCCTTCGTATAATTGAAGCGTTCTGTGCGTCATTAAAGGGTTCTTCAGGTTGATGGAGAATGTGCATGAATGTGCTCTAGATGGTTCTACATAGAAACTTTTTGAAAAGGGTTCTATATGGCACCCAAAAAGGTTCTTCTATTGTTACAACACTCTTACAAATGATGGTTCTTCAAGAGTTCTTTAGTAAAGAAAATTGTGCTACATGGAACCATGAACACTCAAAGAACCCTTTGTATAGTTGGTGCATTCGTTGCATCAATAAAGCGTTCTTCAGATTGATGGACAGTGTGCTGTAGAAGGTTCTACATAGAACCTTTTTGAAAAGGGTTTTATATAGCACCAAAAAGGGTTCTTCTATCATTACAGGCTTGACATCGTAACAACAAAAGAACCCTTTTTGGTGCTATATAAAACCCTTTTCAAAAAGGTTCTATGTAGAACCATCTACAGCACACTGTCCATCAGTCTGAAGAACCCTTTCATGATACAAAGACTTCTTTAATTGTGATTCTTCAAGAGTTCTTTAGTTAAGAAAACTGTTCTATATAGAACCATAAACAAAGAACCCTTTGTGTGATCATTGCATTGTTAAAGGTTCTTCAGATTGATGGAGAATGTGTGGTAGATCTATAAAGAACCTTTTTGAAAAGGGTTCTAAATAGCACCCAAAAATGTTCTTCTACTGTGGTGATGTCAAGCTTGTAACAACAGAAGAACCCTTTTCAAAAAGGTTCTATATAGAACCATAAACACTCAAAGAACTCTTTGTATTATTGAAACGTTCTGTGCATCATTAAAGGGTTCTTTAGATTGATGGAGAATGTGCATGAATGTGCTATAGATAGTTTTATATAGAACCTTTTTAAAATGGGTTCTATAAAGCACCCAAACAATGTCTTCCATTGTTACAACACCCTTAAAAAGGATGGTTCTTCAAGAGCTCTTTAGTAAAGAAAATGGTTCTGTACAGAACCATAAACACTCCCTTTGTATAACTGAAGTGTTCTTTGAATCAATAAAGGGTTCTTTAGACTGATGGAGAATGTGTTGTATATGGGTCTACATAAAACCTTTTTCAAAGTGGTTCTATACAGCACAAAAAAGGGTTCTATTGTTATGATGTCAAGCTTGTAATGATTGAAGAACCTTTGACAAACGTTTAATATAGAACCTTATACAGCACAGCAGTCTCCATCAATCACCATCCATGATGCAAAGACCCTTTAATCATGCAGGTTATTTGAGTGTTCAAGGTTCTATATAGAACCATTTTCTTTACGAAAGAACCTTGAAGAACCATCGTTTTTAAGAGCGCTCTAGTGTCTGAGTGTGTTATTGTTAAGTGTGAAACTTTGCATGTTTAAGAGTTCTTTGCATTGTTAAAGGTTCTTCAGATTGATGGAGAATGTGTTGAAGATGGTTCTATGTAGAAAATGTCAGTAAAGAGTTCTATATAGCACCCAAAAGGGTTCTTCTACTGTGCTGAGATCAAGCTTGTAACTATAGAGGAACCCTTCTTGCATCGTTAAAGCGTTCTTCAGATTGATGGAGGATGTGCTGAAGATGGTTCTATGTAGAAACTTTATGTAAAGGGTTCTATATAGCACCCAAAAGGGTTCTACTGTGGCAATGTCAAGCTTGTAAGAATAGAAGAACCCTTTTTGCATCATTAAAGCGTTCTTCAGATTGATGGAGAATGAGTAGTACATGGTTCTATGTAGAACCTTTTTGAAAAGGGTTCTATATAGCACCCAAAAGAGTTGTTCTACTGTAACAATGTCAAGCTCTGGTTCTATATAGAACCATATTCAGCACGTTCTCCATCAGTCTGAAGAACTATTTCACAATACAAAGAACCCTTTAATCATGCAGAGGGTTCTTTGAGTGTTCATGGTTCTATATACAACCATTTTCTTTACTAAAGAACCCTTGAAGAACCATCTTTTGTGAGGGTGTAGTATAATGATAAGGGTACATTGGTGGCTGCTGTTACTTTGGCTAATGAAACTAATCAGTTCCAAACATTTCCACTAGGTGGAGCTGTTTAACCGCACTGACTACACTTAGTGAACCTGGTGAGGCTGAAACAGCGCCTGCATGTTCTACAGCTTCACTGTATTAGTCAGTCATTAAAGGGAAGATCCACCAAATTTTAGATTTATGCATAATTCAATCACTGAGATGTAAACAAAGTCAGTCACAGTGGTTTGATGTGAAGCGGTTCACTGTAGAGAAACTTCAGTGTCAGATTTCTTTACAGTGGTGGGTGATGGTGATAGGAACCAGGGGCTTATTTACTGTCTAGAACCACCAGTGAACTTCCATGTGCTGTCGGTACAAAACCTTGTGTCTCCATTTTTGTTTTTTGGGATAATTTGAAAATGCCTGTTGTCTTTTATATTGTGTGCAAATCTCCTGATGTTTGGGGACGGCCCCTTCCTGTTCCAACATGACTGCCCACCAGTGCACAAAGCAAGGTCCATAAAGACATGGATGAGCGAGTTTGGTGTGGAAGAACTTGACTGGCCTGCACAGAGTCCTGACCTCAACCCGATAGAACACCTTTGGGATGAATTAGAGGGGAGACTGGGAGCCGGGCCTTCTCGTCCAACATCAGTGTCTGACCTCACAAATGCGCTTCAGGAAGAATGGTCAAAAATTCCCATAAACACTCCTAACCCTTGTGGAAAGCCTTCCCAGAAGAGTTGAAGCTGTTATAGCTGCAAAGGGTGGGCGGACATCATATTAAACCCTATGGATTAAGAATGGGACCTCACTGAATTTCATATGCGTGTGAAGGCAGACGAGCGAATAGTTTTCGAAGTATAGCATGTGTGTATATATATACACAAACAACCCCATTTCCAAAAAGGTTTAGATGCTGTGCAAAATGTAAATAAGAACAAAATTCAACAATGAGCCCTTTTGAAGTCGCTTCTCACTCACCAGCTTCTTGTTCATCTTAAGTGGTGCAGCAGTTACATTCTGATGTAGTAGGCACCATTTAAGGTGGAACGGGAAAATTCAAACACGAAGCTGGCGAACGAGAAACTGACTTCAGCCTCGCGTCTTTTTAGTGTTCGACAGTTTCTCATTGCAGATTAAACGTATCAGGAAAGCAGCTGGAGTGATTGTGAATGCAGATCAGTGTAATTAAATATAAAGCTCTGAGAATATTGTACTTCATTTTCAAATGAAAATGAGCATCTTAGCAAACCGTTTACACACTAAGAATGAAACTTCAGTTAGAATTTTCCTTTCTCAGTTGCATAAAATCAGCGTGGTTTTGTGTGAAATGTTCTGTTTGAATCAGAACTGTTCACAGTGGTGGTGATAGGAACCAGATGTCCGCCTCTAAAAGCTCCCTCACAGAAAGCTATGAACACACTGCCTGATACCTGAGACACTGTTTTATGATAGTTTTTGTGATAACACATTGGAATGAAATGTTGTTTTATGATAGATTGACACTTTTGGCCTTAATAGTAGTTTCTAATCCATTCATGCAGGGTGAGGTTTGTAACTGAGCCCCTTTGTGATGAGTTCAGAGCTCGTGTGAACAGTATTCAATGTTAAAAACTTTCCATTGGTGAAATACAGAATGGTGAAATGACCGTTAGCTTCACATGCTGATTGGTTACCGTTCATTTACATCTGATCAGACAAAGCACTTCCAAATAATGACTGACAGGTCTTCAGTTTTCTACTAGTTCTTACTTTGTGTGTCTGAGTTACCACTCCTGCTGTACACTGACATTACATGTCGCCATCTAGTGGATGAATTACGTACAATGAAAGTATAATAGACAGCACAGCGTTAATATACATGCAGCACTGGAGTTTCAGTGTCAGTCAAATGGTTTAGTGCATGTTGTAGACGCTCACTGTTCATTAGGGTGTTTCTAATAAAGTGGTCAGTGAGTGGAAGTGCAATGTGGGTGTTTCTAATAAAGTGGCCAATGAGTGGAAGCGCAAGGTAGGTGTTTCTAATAAAGTGGCCAATGAATGAAAGTGCAATGTGGGTGTTTCTAATAAAGTGGCCAATGAGTGGAAGCACAAGGTAGGTGTTTCTAATAAAGTGGCCAGTGAGTGGAAGTACAAGGTAGGTGTTTCTAATAAAGTGGCCAGTGAGTGGAAGCGCAATGTGGGTGTTTCTAATAAAGTGGCCAGTGAGTGGAAGCAAAAGGTGCGTGTTTCTAATAAAGTGACAAGTGAGTGGAAGTGCAATGTGGCTGTTTCTAATAAAGTGGCCAGTGAGTGGAAGCACAAGGTAGGTGTTTCTTTGTTTCTTTGTTTGAGTTGACTCAGAAGAGAGAGAGGGAGGGAGACGGAGAGAGAGAGAGAGAGGACGGGGAGGTGGGGAGGGATTTTAACACACACACACACACACACACACACACACACATATATATATGTATATACAATCACATACACACACAGACACACACTAACAGCAGGCCATGTAGGAGAAGAACAGAATGAAGGACACAGCACCTCTACACTTTTACTCCCCGTGGGTTCAGCCCAACACCACATGTGGAATATAAATGTGTGGGGGGTGAACAGTGTGAAGACACTCAAAATGGGTTATTTTATATGTTCTTCACAGAAAATGAACAAAGGCCAAGAATCTGAGGTTGAAATAATAAATAAATCACATAATTTTTTCCTTTGGTAAAGATTGAAAATGGGTCCCACAGACCTCAACACCACATAAGGGTTAAGAACCTCCTCCTTGTATCTACAAGCAAAACACCGTCAGCACTTAGTCGACACTAGTGTTGTTTTACAGGGTTCATCTGCTGTGATTTCACCTCAACCATAATAACGTTCATATAGAAATTCA